GGTAGTCCAATAGGACAATGATTTGGCAAAGTTTTGTTAAATTCGGAGAAAACATCATTTTTAGGTGGGAACACTTGAGGTGTTTTGCCCCATATATATGCTAAAGGAATCACCCTATAGAAAATCTGAAAAAACTAGAATATGGCACATTGTGGAATATGGTAGTGTATACTAACCTTAACTCATCACGTTGGTACATTTGGCGTTTTCAACTTAAAAAATATATAATCTTCCAAACATTTTTTTAAATAGTGATATTATTAGCTTTACTTTGCAAGAAAAATTAAAATCGCGTATGTAGCCGTTGTGGAGATTTACACTTAAATGTATTTTTTTATAAATTATTGCGTAACAGCCCAGCTGACAGTACCACGTCATTTAAACGTCATTTTTTCGGCACCCGATTCGTCATATTCACCATACACCATGACGTATTATTGACGTTTGGGTGACAGCCCTCCGACGTCATTTTGGTACGTCTTTTTGACGTGTCCAGTTAACGTATAATGACGTTACTTTGTACGTACCAGTGACGTTACTTTGTACGTACCAGTGACGTTACTTTGTACGTGTTTGGACGTAAAAAAAACGTCCCCCTTAACGTGGTTAAGACGATTCTTAAAGACATCTTTAATACGTCTTTAAGGTACAAAATTGACGTATTTTGGTTGTTGAATAATTTCTCAAAGATAGTGCTGTTTAACATTAAATGTTAAATTTTATAAAAGCTTCTGCTAAAAGTAAGTAGTGGGGCCCACTGCTTACTTTTCGCAGAGTGGGCCACAGAACCAGCTGTCTCCCTTCAAAACTTACAAGCAGAAGCGGTATGGTCAGTAATTTTGCTTTAGTAAGAAATTCTTACTTAGCAGCTTAAGGCATTCCACCTTTATAGAACTATTTATTGTGCTACAGAGACGAGAGGTATGCATGGGTTGCCTACATATTGGCGAATTTCGAAACATTTTGATGACGTCGCATATACGTCTGATTCTAGTATGAAATGAGTGCTCAGAGAATGGCGAGAAATATACGTCATTTTTACGTTTTATTTTGACGTTTATTTTTACGTCTTAAACGTCGTTCGTCATTTTCTGTTTGCTGGGTACTTAGGTACATATTTCTTCTAAACTTTAAAGTTACACGTAATTACGTGTATTCGTTTTTTCAAAACGTTTATTTCACGTCAATATTCCGTTACTTTAAAACTCTTTAAATATCAACCAAAATGCGAGTTGGTTACAGCTCTGTTTGCTGGGTAACGTCGCGACGTTATTACGTGCAATGTATGGAACAAAATGACGTCAACAATTGGTCAATTTAATGACGGAATAATAACCATATATTTTCATTTATGGAATAATAAATTAATTTTAAAATCGAAACCGGTCATTAAAAATACGAAAAATTACGTTCACTTTACGTGATTTAATAAAAGTCAATCTATATAACGTCAATATCACGTAGAATGTATGAAAAAAAAGACGTCAACAAATGGTTAACAAAATGACGGAATACTAACGTCGATATTACGTAGAATGTATGGAACAAAATGACGTCAACATTTGGTCAATTAAATGACGGAATAATAACTACATATATTCATTTACGGAATAATAAATTAATTTTAAAATCGAAACGGGCATTAAAAATACGTAAAATTACGTACACTGTACGTAATTTAATAAACGTCAATCTAGATTACGTTAATAGCTGCATTTTATTGCCCATTCTCCCTATTCTCCCTTAAATGAATGGTTGTTTTTTTGAGTCACAGAATGATTCTTCTGTCATTAATGTCATTCCGATGATTCCTTACTTTTGTTTGGAATCTTCAGAATGAGGCAGAGTGGGGGGATATTCCCCTGAAAAAAGTGCATTTAACAACCGCCAATTTTAAAAACTATTATGGTTTATAATAAACCCAGCAAGTAATAACTGTGCGTTATCCATATTTTTAAACTTTAAAAAGAAAATTGAGGTCACAATCCACACAATTGGTTATTAGGTTCATAAATTCCCCCACCTTTGGCAAAGTGACAGGGCTCAGAATGAATTTGCAAACGGGAATCATTCTGTTTTTATTCCATTCCACTTTCAATAAAATGCGCCTAATATCACGTAGAATGTAAGGGGTAAAAATGACATCAATAATTGGTCAACTCAATGACTGAATACTAACGTCGATATTACGTAGAATGTATGACGTCAACAATTGGTCAATTCAATGACGGAATAATAACCATATAATTTCATTTATGAAATGATAATTTTAAAATAATAATTTTAAAACCAAAACCGGTCATTAAAAATACATAAAATTACACTAACGTCGATATTACGTGAAATGTATGGAACAAAAATGACGTCAACAATTGGTCAACGAAATGACAGAATACTAACGTCGATATTACGTCCATGACGTCGCAGACGTACAATCACCAAAATTACACGTCGATAAGACGTGTCACTGTCAGCTGGGAGTAAGCTTAGTCTGTATCCCAGGCAACACAGTGACGTGAATATCACGTTTAATTTACGTCTACGGTGACGTCGAAGTCACCAACTTAGAAACGTCTTATCGTCGTAAAATTGACGACAATATGTCACAGCGATTTCACGTGTAAAATCACGTAATATTACGTAATTATTTACGTAATAATCACGTACTATTTCTTGAATAATATATGATTAGGTCATACACTGATAAAAATAATTACCGATACTGATATCAGATATTTCAATGCGAAATGTGCTTTTGTCAAAATTAAAAAAACAAAAAATTTTTAATTGCACTTTTAAATTTTAAGAAATAAATAGGTAAACCCTACTATATATAGTATATATATACTACTATAGTAGATATATATTTAGTAAATAATTAATACTCAAAATAAATGTATGTAAAAAAGTAGAATAACAAAAAAAAATTGTTAGTTAATCTTTGCAGAAACACATACATATGTATGGCATTAAAATATCGGATATAAGAATAAATAACTATTTTTACTAGTGCATAAAGGGCTTTTGGTTTAATAATTAATAAAACATGTTTTAAGTTGCTCAAAACATTTATTATAAAATCAAACACATTAAATTTTAAGACAGATGACAGGTCAATATTTTAGGGGCTTATGTAGGTACTTCATTTAGGTGTTATGACTTCGTTACGGAATATACTGAGTAATTAAAACATTAATAAACAAACAAAAATTGACCTACCTTACACAGCCAAAGTATTATCAGTATAAATGGTTTGTTCTTTGTATAAATACCACAGATTATAAAAGTTGGACGCTTGAATCAACCATATTGTTTTTTAGGAATAAACGTTCCCTCGCTTTGTAAGTAGTGTCAAAGAGAAACAGGGTTGCCAGGTGTAAAAATTAATATTATCGAAGAGGGTTGACAAAATGATCAAATTTACAGAAAATTATATAAAATTATCAAAACAAAAATTGTATAAAAACAAGCAAAACTACGCGGCGGATTAAATTATGTTACAATTATCGATTATTATTTAAATTTTACTATTTTAAAAAAGAAAATTATAAAACATCTGGCAACACTGTAGATAAATAATTTTACTAAAATTAAAATTGTGATTGTCAACTGCAGTAACATGTTAATTTCTTATTTTGTGATGAAATGATAAAGGATTTAAAAATCGCGAATTTGTTTTAAAAAATCCAATAATGGATCAATAATTATTAATCTATCTTAATTAGTTTAAAACCACGTTGATTTTCCGTCGAAATAACTTAAATTAAATCGGCCCATTAAAACGGGCCAACTGTTCCTTATTAATTATCACTATATTTTCATATTTTCTTAAAAATTTCGTCATCTGTTCACGTGATAATGACGTCATTTATTGGTTATCATCGACCTAAGTTAATAATTGGTCTTGTTTTGGTGAATTTTGAGACGTCGAAAAATGGTTGAAATGTAACTTCGACCAAATTCGACCCAATTCGTCGACGATTCTACGTGATTTCTACGACCCTGTGTTGCCTGGGATATCGCCTCTTGTGTTGAGTATTGGCCGTTAATTTTAAACTTTGAATGATCCTTTTTATTTTAGTGCACGTACCCTGTAGTAGATACTAAAATGCTTCACACCGTGAGGAATAAATGGTTACCTAGGTTCTCTAGTCGACATCGCAATTTTTATACCGACTCTTTATTTTCAGGCGAGATGTCTCCAATGTGGACCTCGTTCCCCAAAGGGCAAAGTTAAAACACTAATACTATTTTTAAACCTTTGGGGTTAGATAAAGTAACGAGCGTCGCGTCATCACATTCATTTGCATAAACTTTTAAAAGAAACAATGCCTAATCGTGTAATTGCCACTTCATAGCCGAACAGGGTTTTTTCTCTAGCTCTTTTTCCTTGGTCGTATCTTCCCAAGAGCCTTGCTTGTTGTAAAATGATGGTAAAGTAAATTAAATTAAATAGTTCATGTATTAATTTTTAATAAAACCTGTTTTAAACGAACCTGGTGTAAAAATAAATCTTTACAATACATACAAAAAATTACATTTTTTTTTTTTCGATAAATAGTTTTGAGATATTAAACATTTAAGCGCTGATTCAACGATTTAAGTTTAAAAAACTCGGTAACAATGTGTAGAAAATTTCGTAGCCAAAATAACATGACATAAGTCAACCATGTATATAGACAATTTTATATAAAGGACTGTTTTATAACGTTTTTCTGCAAAAAAAACAATATACATGTAAATGCATTTTAAATTTCGAAGTGGAAGAATAAAATTTTTGCAAACGTTTTGTGTTAAAAAAAATAAAACTTTACCTTAAAATTTTGGCAACGTAATGAACAAATATCACCAGTTTTAATTTTATTATTAACCGAACTACTATTTTTGTTGTTGGAATTTCAATTAAAGTTCCGAAAGTATGTACACTAAAACTGATTAGAATTTGTTACGCCATTAAAACACAATAATTAAAATAAAAATACATTTGTATTAGTCATCTTTTAGCTACAACACGACGATGGAACACAACTAAAACCTGATCTCTTGGTAATATTGACTCTGGTAAACTCCTCAGCCACAGTGGGGTGTATACCAACTGTATCACTCAAAATATCCATGGTGAGTCCGCATTTCATGGCTGCGGCAAACCCCTGCATTATTTCTGCAGCATGCGGACCGATGATGTGCATCCCAATTACTTCTTTCCGTTCATTTCTTTTGGTTATCACTTTGATGTAGCAATGTTGCGTGGGTTTTTTGGGGATGAAATATTCTGTGGGTTTAAAGTTTGAGTGGTAGACTTCAATGTTTTCACTGCCGAAAGTTTGTAATGCGTTTTCTTCGCTATAACCAATACAGGCGTATTTTGCCGGGGTAAATACTGTTGTTGCTACGTTGTTGTAGTCCATAAAACATCTAAAAAGTTAAAGGGGTTGTTAAATTATGACCGTTTTTTTAAATTTTAGGTTTTTAACATAAAATTATACATACACTACTCAAATAAATTTGCGCAACGCGTTTTTAAAATATCCTCACTTTTTATGGAATAACCGAAATCACCAAATTTTTTATGGAGATTTATTTACTAAATATTTCTCTTTAAACATTAAATAAAACATGTTCTAAATCTACTTAACTCTTATGTATAACACTAAATTTAAAAAATGTCACGAAATCAAAGTGTTGCCAGACCATTTAGCAAATTTAAAAAAGTTTCTGTAAACTATGGAAGAAATAAACACCAGTTTTTTATGTTGATATTCCTGGTGCACGAGTATAAATTGCGTTGACTTAGTGAAATTAAAGATGTGCGTTATATCCGCTACACAGCAAATCAACTTCGGAAAGTCCATCCGTTATTTACAGACTTTGAAATTGGTACCAAACAACATGTAGCTACTCCAGAAGAGCTGGACAAGGCTGGAAACGAAAAACAATGTATTAAGATGAGAGGCATATTGTTACAACTTTCTTTCGCCAACGCACTGCCACTGCTAGAGAGCTACAAAACCAACCAAGAAATGCCACAGGAGATGAGATTTCTGACCAAAAAGTTAGAAATCGACTAAAGAATTTTGGTTTAAGGGCACGTAGCACGTGCGAGTACCTTGACTAACTAGAGTTTATAAAATTGGTCGTGTACAAGTCTACATACGTCTTGGCGAACAATACGTTATGCCCAGGGCCGTCTCTATTTTTATATATGGTACATAGAACCTTTTTATGCAAAAATTTTATTTAATATGGAATTGACTATATCTCAAATACTACTCCACTTTTATAATTTTTGACGGTATTTTCGGATTTAGGGGGGACAACTTTACATAAGAATTGGCTGTTAAATTTTGTGATACCATGGTATTCCTTGGTTAACCATGGTACAAGTGAAAAAGCAGCCACTAATAACTATTAAATTAGTATCTTTTGACTAATTCATTTTTTAGAGAGAATATAACAAATTTTGTCTATAAATAAAATATTTTATTTTACATATCACTACCTTGGTTTAATATGGTTCTATTTGCCATTATCCCAAAAATAAAATTTTTGCATAAAAAGGTTCTATGTACCATATATAAAACTTTTAAGCAAAAATCACATTTTCGAGAAAATGGCTGATAGAACCATGTTAAACCATTGTAGCGATATGTAACTACATAGGTACATAAGTAATACCTAATATAGCTAACAACAAACTTAAAAACTTGTTTATAATATATACACTAGTGGAAAAAATTTATTCCAAATTTTTAGCGATATTTCAATTGACTGTATACATGTATTTTTGTTAAAAATGGCCGTATCGAAGTTTAAAAAAAATCAATTTGAAGCTTCAAGTCTCTTATTTTTGAGCCTTAAGACGAACAATTTTTCCAAGCAACAAGTATCGCGCAATCCAGGATTCATTATAATGAATATCGTGAAGAAAAGGTTTCAATTTTTTTTGTTTTTTATTTTCTGTGTACGGACATTTTTTTTTAACGAAACCACCATATGGATCGGATAGGTTGTTTATCCAGCTTTAATTTGTTGGCTGATACGACCATTTCTCGCTGAGCTATCGAACTTTCAATGAAAAAGGATAATTTGAATTTGAATTTAAATTGAAGTTTTTTTGCAATTTTGTAAAAAAAATTCATAACTTTAAATGCCGTTTGGTAAAAAAATGTGAAAAAATTGGAGATATTTTTTTTTACATTTTATTAGAGATTATGAGCGTTTGAGAGTAAAAAAACTTGATTTAATTTTTTCAAAAATTCAATCGAATGAAACTAAAAAACGGCTGGATGGATGAATTGAAACTTGCTAGTGATTTGTGGGTATATTGAACTATAAAAGGCACATTTAACATTAGTCGTTTTTTAATAACCTCCATTCTGCGTGTGATTTTCCCAAAAACCTCTAAACCCCATTTTTTCACGTCTTCAAAATCATGTTACGAATGTAAAAAAATTGTTTTGAAAAAAACATTAGCCGAACCTTATAAGGCATTCATTCAAGTTTCTAAAACCGACCTCCAATTTTTTGTGCGACTATTGGTTTCTGAGATATCGATGATCAAAGGAAAAATGATCCATTTTCATTCAGCCCGATAGCTCAGCGAGAAATGGTCGTATCAAGGTCTACAAAAAAGTCCGTACGCAAAACAAAAAAAATTAAATTTTTTTCTTTATGATATTGCTTAAGATTGCGCGATACTTGTTGCTTGGAAAAAAATTCGTCTTATGGTCCAAAAACACGAGATTGCAGCTTTCTTTTAAGATCTAAGAAAGCCGCACTTCTATTTAAAAACTCATTATAAACATACAAAAAATTGTAGGAAACTAATATAGGCTTAAAAAAATGGCTTTCCCTTAAACGGCCGCCCCCAAAAAATGGCCGCCCCGGGCTTAAGACGGCCCTGGTTATGTCACTGTTAAGGAAATTGATAGATTTGGAGGCAGATTTGTAATGGTTTGGGCTTAAAGGCAGAGATCCTGCAAGATCATGATTTTCCATTTTCCAACAACTTTGGTGATGGATTGGATCGAGCACGCATAGGACATATTGGATAGACGTGTTAGAAAGCGCCCTGTTGCGCCTATTACTCTTCAGCAACTGTCAGAGGCTCTTCTGGAAGGCCATACGCGTTACTAATATTCGAAATACTCAGCGCAAGTGGTTTTTCACTACTCTTTGATTTTATGATTTTATTACATTTAATCTTGTAAATAGGAATTAAGTAGATTTGGAATAAATGTTTTTTTTGCTGTTTGAGCTGAATGTTTAATGAATAAATCCCCAGAAGTAAATTGTTGATCGGCCATTCAATAAAAAAATGAGGATCACTCATTCAAAAACGCGTTCGGCCAATTTATTTGAGCAGTGTATTTCTAACGTTAGAAAATGTTGTCCCAACGTTATTTTCCACCTGGATTGTCATTTTACCTTGTAGTCCAACCTACATACTTACTTTTTGTCCTCTTCTTTTCCAAACAACCTTTTTGCTAACAGTTGGCCAGCCTGTATAGCCACCGGTGTTAACTCAGGCTTATTAAACAATACATCGCCCACCCCAAAAATATGCGGTACGTTTGTTTGCTCATTTTCCGTTAGCAACTTATCGTTTTCTTCTGAAATTTTAACCCCCGCATTCTCCAAAAGCATGTCCCTTGTAGGCGGCTGCCTACCTATAGCAAATAATACAGTATCGAAGTAGTCCGAGGAAATTTGGTTGTTTTTATTCTGCCAACTAAACAAAAGTTTATTGTTCGGTTGTTTTATTATGGATTTTGGTGTAAATTTAAATTCAAACTTGACGCCTTTATCTTGCAACGCCGACGTTATTATTTGCGCCATTTGTTGATCGAAACCTCGTAAAACCACGGAGCGTACCTAGAAAAACAAAATCTATAATGTAGGAAAAATAATCAATTTTATAGTTTACACCGAACTCTCTTTAATCTCGAGATAAAATTAACTTTGAAAGAAAGCTTGTTAGCAAGAAGTAAACAAAACTTTTATTTTTATATCAAGGAACGAGGGTTCAATAAACAAAAACAAATTTTATTCGCAAAAACGGGTTTTTAAAGTATTCTTTATGAAGATAAATTAACTTTTTCATACTCTTAGACAAATTTTCGTATCATGTTTTTTCACTCCGACATGCATTTTTAACAACGTTTGTTCGCTCATCGCTTATCTTGAAAGACGCGTACCGTCGACTGCTGTTTACAATTTGATTCATATACATAAATCCAATATTTGTTACCTGTGTTAATGTTAATAGCATCAGGGTGTTTTAAGCATTTCTTTGTACCAATCAATGCGGGATCTAAAGTGAACAAATCTTCTCGTCGGCCAAATGTTTGTCTAATATTTTATTCATACTATTGCAAAAGAATAACTCAATCTCGGGATGTTTCTTGACGATCTTGCAATATCAGTTCGCACACAGCAACCTATTTTGGAGGACCTTCGCAAAATTCGGCCTTTAGTAAATTACCGCGACGATTGAATTTTTAAAACCACCGATATTCAGTGTCTTAAAATGGTGCTTTATCGTCATATAAAAAAAGTTTATCGATGCCCAAGTAACACATGTAACTCTTGGCTTTTACCTAAATATTATATTAAAGCTTTATCACACTCTTTGAAAAGATATTTGGGTTATCACAAAGGTTAATTGTTCTTAGAACCATATTACTTTAATAGAATGCTTTATTAAACACAACAAAACCTACTTTTAAAACTATAACGCCTATTACGCTTGTAAGTTTTAACTTTGCTTTATTATGGGATGTCATTTATACCCTTATAAAACCATATTAACTCAACAGACGCTTAAGGCCTATTTAACTTTATGGTTTTAAAATAAATTTTAAAGGTTCTTAAAAAGTATGTTTTATGGAAGCAGTTAAAACCAAATTTCTGGAGGAAACTGACCTATGATTATTTGCCTGTGCTGTAAGTACTTCTTACAGCTTGTAAGCGTACAAACCCCCCCAGCAAAGAATCTGTAAAAGTTACACCCCAAGTGATAAATGAAATATAAAACCACGGCAAATGTTATATTAAATTACGACAAATAAATAAAATAAATAATTACGGTAATAAAGCTTTAGTAACCCAAGGTACTTTTGAGGTGATGTATTCATGGGGAAACTATTAAAAGGGAAATAATATATACAGTAAATAAAAGATAATAAATTACGTTTGAACTCAGGTCAAACACCCGGAAGGCTCCTTTTTATTTTTATATAAATATCGCTCATAAAACCTTATAAACGTATAAAATATTTAAAATTTATAACAAACAATAATATTTATTTCTATAGAGCAACAACAATAACCGCAACCCAAACGACATTTAACTTAAATTTCTGAAAGAAAGGGACATCCTACAAACTCTTTAAACCATACAATATCTCCTTGCTGCGACCACAACCCACATAAAATATAAATAAATAAATATATAAATACCATTTGATAAATAACACACCATACTAGAGCTTAGCTGTCGTATGTGTTCCCCTTTTTAATTTTTAATTTGTTTCTTTGTTTGTTTGCTTATTTGTTTGTTTGTTGAGTGAAAGTAGATTGAGTCTTAGTCTCTATTTTTGTATTTTAAATTTAACTTTATTTATCAAGCATTCCATCTACATTAGGCCTCCATCATCCAAGTAAAGTTTTTATAATTATTTATTGTTGAATTTAAGTTTTACTGTTACATAATTTTCATGTAATATTTATTAGAGTTCAGGCTCAATCAATTGGGAAAAACCCTTGGCCTTGGGAAAATTGTCTTTCTTGGGAAAAATTGAACTATTTTTTTGGAAATACCCATTTAAAAAAAAGTGACAATCACACTTAAAAAATATCCTAAAAAATAAATAAGACTAAACATTGAATTGAATTAAATAAAATTGATTTAAAAAAATAAACGTAAACGTAATATATACTGGGTCTTTTTTGCAAAAAGGAGTCCATTGAAAATATCCCATTATAAAACAATGCATGATTTATAAAGTTAAATTACAAAATTATAATTTTATAAATCGAAGTGTCAAATAAAACGAATGTGTTTTTTTGCGACCCGGTAGAATATTTCTATTGGATTAAAATAAAAGAAATAATTATTATAATCATAATAATAGGATTATATTTAGGGTCGAAAATTTTTCTCGATATCAGTGTACAGTATCCGCAGAAATTTGTAAATTTTTAAAATATGCAAAAGTCAATTTTTCTGAAAAATTCACAATTTTTCCGTTTTATTACAGAAAAATACTGTTTTTTTTTTCGCCGGATCAATTTTTTCGGAAATTTTAAAACCGCAGTACCAACCACATCCAACCAACCCACATTACCAATCCTGTACAAAATAATTAACTACAATTTTTGACTAACCAAAACTGTAGTGTCGTATCCAAGACCATTCAAAAATCCAGCGCATTCTAGACCCACATAACCAGCGCCAACTATCATCGTTTTACCCGGTGGTTTTTTCAAACTAAAAATATCATCGCTTGTGATACCGAAATCCAGAGCCCCTGGTATATTTGGGTATCTGGGGCGTCCTCCAACAGCTAAAAATGTAAAACATAAGCTTTGTTAACTAAAACAAATTTAAACTACCTATTAATATATATTCCGCACTTAAATCCACGGTTTCTCCATCATTTTTCTTTACGCTTATCTCGTGAGGGCTTTTAAATCTTCCAAAACCATTAATATAATCGACTTTGGACTCCTTTAATTCCACTCTCGTGGTCCAGTTTACAGATTTAATCTGGTTTTGAATTGCTTCCGTTAAAACACACCAGTTGTGAGTTATGTGTTCCGAAGCTGGAAGTTTCCAACCGTAACATTTGGCTTCGTTAAGAGTATCTCCTGAAAAGTTTCATGTTAAAACAAAGTTTTATAATAAAAACATGTATCTTATAACGAGCTTCTCAGCAAGGTAGGTTATACCTACCTTGCTGAGAAGCTCGTTATAATTTTCTTAAAATATGCCAGTTTATAAAAAACCTGCACTTTTTAGTCAAAATAACATAAGCGTCTAACCGGATAGTAGAAATTTTATTTTATTTATTTTTGAAACAACCTAAATTATTATCCTGATTTTGGTGTCATTTATGAGCTGAATCAGACTACACTGCAAACATAAGTCGACATGACTTATTAAAACCGCCCAAGTGCACTTGGGTCATTTTAACTCTTTTGTTTTGTATCATGCATTACATGGGTTATTTAGGTATATTTAAATATTTGGAAAACCTAAAGCCACTGTAAATTCTACCAGATGAGGAGTAATTAGACTATGAAATCTTGGGATCAGATTATGATTCATAATTTATGAATAAAACTTTCAGTTTTATGTTTATGTTTTATTATTAATTAAAATGCTAAATGCTAAAACAACCCAAATGCTTTTTTTGTTCAAAAGTATAGAAAACAAACAAAAATATTCGATTCGTTTTTTGTTCTATTTTTTATCAGAGCTGGCCAAGTAGTGAGTACTTTTACTCGTATTTCAATTACGACTACTTTTTTACTCATAAGTATTTTTCATTTGAAATACTTATTACTCGTACTTACAAACCAAATTCAATGTACTCGTAAAAAATAATCGTGGAATTCACGAGTAATATATACGAGTATTTTCGTTTATTATATCGATGAATTTTTGCCAAAGCATCAAAACATTTTTCTTACTACCTCGACTCAAAATACGTTGTTTCGTCCCCGATTTCACGGCAGAAAGTTTACGTTTCTTGCATTGGTCAAGCTATACGCGCACACTCTAATAGCGGGAGTAAAAATTTTTTAGTCGTGTGCTTAACATTCAAATTTCGTACTGCCAACATGAGAAACACAAAAATATGACAGTTTTAAACCATAATTTTGCAATTATAACAACAAATAAACAATTTATGTTTTTACTTTTTTACTTTTTATGTTGTTTTAAGTGTTTAATGGTACCAGAGCTGGGCAGTAATTGACTTGAAAGTGCTTGAAAAAGTGCTTCAAGCACAATAGTGCTTCGAGCACAGTGCTTGCAAGCACTTTTAAAATACAGTGCTTGGTAATTGGTAATTGAAGCCCTTTATAAAAAGTGCTTGGTAATTGGTAATTGAATTTCGCATTTCAAGCCATTTGAGTGCTTGCAAGCACTTAAAAGGCTTGCAGGCACTTTAAAGGGCTTGCAAGCACTAAAGGGCTTGCAAGCACTATCAGATTTGAGGGCTTGCAAGCATTTAAAGTGCTCCCGAGCACTTTAGACTCTAGAGGGAAATGCCCTTAGTAACAACCCTGTGGTTTCATCATCATCATCTAATGCGGTGTGCGGTGCAGCATAAGCTTTAATGTGATTGGTTGGTTGAAGGCCGACTTGGCCAGTACCTTTCTCCTTCTTGCAGATAATTTGTACTTATTTTTTGATGATTTCTTCACTTTAATTTCCTGCTTAAAATACCCCATAGAGACCTATACAAAATAATCTATCGGGCGCTACCGGATTCAATATGTGCATTTGTCCATGGTTTTTTCCGGATACGGCCCGATAGAAAATTTATAGGAAATTACCTATAGGCACACCATAACTTTTACATTTTCCCTATAGAGACCGATAGAAAATAATTCAATGAAGGATATATAGGGATATCCCTATAGAACAATCATAAAACATTTGACAAAATTTTATTAAAACCTATGGGGTCCTATGGGGGAAATACTAATTTTTATATTTATGTGTATTTTCCCCATTAAAACCAATATCAAATAAATCAAGGGTGGATATCCCTATAGAACAACCATAAATCCCAACTATGGGTCCTATACATACCGATACACCCTATAGAAACACCATACATTCCGATACAAATATCTATCGGTTTTAACAGGGTCTCTATTTTAATATAACGATCATCCAAAAATGTTTCTTATTTTTAAAATAAAAATGTTAATTAATTGGGTAGGAAGCAATTGGAAAACTAAAAAGTGCTTGGTAATTGGTAATTTATTTAAGAAAAAAGTGCTTGCAAGCACTTTTTGAGTAATTGGTGCTTGGTAATTGAATTTTTCAATTACTTTTCTCGGTAATTGGTAATTGCAAGCACTTAAAGTTTTCAAAGTGCTTGATGCTTGGTGCTGGCAATTACTTTTCCAAAGGGCTTGGTGCTTGGTGCTCGAAGCACTTTTTTTGAGTGCTTTGCCCAGCTCTGAATGGTACTTTTATTTGTTATAAAGTAGTAATTTGTTAATTAAAATACAACCTTTTATTTTTACTGTATTGGCACCGCTGAATTACCATGACAACGCTACAGTTTGATTGATTTTGAATGTAAACGTCAGAATTAAATTAAACGTCAGATTTTAATTTTGACACAAGTTTTTTTATATACATTTAATTTTTTCCCGTATTTTCTGCGGGGTAGCAAGAAAAATAGTATACACTACACGGGCAGAAAGTGTGAGAGCCCTGAACTGCGCGCCATGATGCCCTCGGCTTCGCCTCGGGCATCATGGCGCGCAGTGCAGGAATCTCACACTTTCTGCCCTTGTAGTGTAATATACTATTGTTTGGTAATCTGTTTTAAATTATATAATATACAAGGTGTCCCTAAACTTAGTGGCATAAATTTAAGAGCAGATTAAGCAAGTCAAAATAAGACGAAAATCTAAATAAATATTTTTCCTAATTACGTAAGATACAGGGTGATAAAGTGTTACTTATCATATCAGTTTTTTTAATATAACTTCTTCAGTGGTAGACTTGGAAAGGTGATATTTTGCGAACAGTCACTTACTACCAAAACACATATTCACACATAATTACAATTGTTCGAGTGAATACGGTGTCGTAGAAACAGGGGTTGCTTAAGCTTATTGTACCATACAAACTTTGAGGTTAGGTTTTTATACCATTTGATGCAATTTTTCGATTACTTAGTTCGGCAACTAATAAAAAGGTGTACCTCTCAAACTTCGATAAAATAAACCTTTTCCGAGATATTCGAGATTACAATAATTGTTATATCGCATTAAGGACTAGAAGGTGTATGTCATATACCTTCTAGTCCTTAATGCGATATAACAATTATTATAATATCGAATATCTCGGAAACGGTTTATTTTATCAAAGTTTGAGAGATACACCTTTTTAATAGTAGCCGAACTGAGTAATCGAAAAATTTTGATGATAACTTTGATGATAATTTGATGATAATTTTGATGATAAAAAATTTTTTAATTGAAAAAACTAAAATTTGTTTAATGGGACGGCCAGGGCAAAAAGGTTCGAGGCTCTTTGCTCTTTTTAGTATTTTCAATTAAAAAATAAAAAATTTTATCATATACCTTTTAATCCTTTTAAATAATACGATATAACAATTATTGTAATCTCGAATATCTCGGAAACGGTTTATTTTATCGAAGTTTGTGAGGTACTATGCTCCACACCTCAAAGTCCCACCACGTGACCACGTACGGAACGCAGTCTTAAGTCTTAAATTTGGCATTTAAGGCTTTTCAGGTTATGTATCAATCAAAGTATAGTCAACGAAAGAAATAATATTATGTTTAGGCGTTAAAAATGTATAAATCTTTATAACATTACAATAACAATGGATGGTTTAAGAATTTAAGAATATAAATACTGCATTTATTGAAATTCTAAAGTGTATGGTCCCAAATAAGTAATATTTTTGTTCATTTGGTCCAAATATCTGGTTTTCTCCATAAAATAATTTTAACTAAACAGCATTTATTAAAAAAAATCTAGCTTCTCTATTATGGAATAAGAATATCTGTATTAAAGGTAGGTTAATATATTATAACAAAAATATCATCTAATTTTGTAATTTTATGGTTAGAAAAATTTATTTTGACCAAAATAAATAAGTATTTTGGATTATTTGAAAGACTGTATAATATGGTATTTAAAAATGTGGTAGTTTTTCTAATCCAGCTTAAAGTGTACACCGAGAAAAATAATTTAAGACCATCTTTAAGATTCTTAATAACCTTATTTAAGATATCGCAGTAAAATAGGGGACATTAAGACCGTTTAAATACCATTAATAGATTCAAATTAATAACTATACTTTGTGACCATCAATAGGCAAACTTAATACAATTATCATAAGACCATCAAAAGTTTTTATATCGGCCATTAATATATATCTTATAAGGGTTAATATATTATTTTAGGATCATCTTAATATCACTTAAATATCTTCTTATGACATCTTAATATGATCCTAAATTGGTACATATATGGCAAATAAATAATCTTATTATGGTAAATATATTATTTTATGATCATCTTAATTCCATCCTAATATCCTCTTATGCTATCTTAATATGATCCTAAATATATTTATTTGCCATAATAATATGCTATAGCTATCATATTAAGATGGCCTATTTACGGCAATAGTTTAATTTTATTATAAATGGAGCTGCACCATGGTACAAATAAACGAAAATAAATCTTAAAAGCATTATTTCTACTAAAAGTAAAGTCTTGAAAATAAAATAAAGCCCCAACGCGAAAAAATGCATTAAAAGGTTGGATTTTCATTTTAGTCTTCGAGTACTTGAACATAATTTTGGCATTCATTTTTATTTTATTAAAAAAATAATTAACACCATTATTTTCATCAACCTAAACTAAACCTAAATGTTTATAAAAAAATCAGAAAAACATATCGCAATTAGCATAAATTAATGCTTTCCTTATTTTTTTAGGAAATAAAATAGAGATAAATACCGAAATTATTTTTACTAGACGACCTTATTAGTGCATTTTCTGCGTTGGGACTTTATTTTCATTTTCAAGACTTTACCCAGGTAGCACACTGACGTTTATATGACGTTGAAATGACTTT